TTTTTTTTTTTTTTTTTTTTTTTTTTTGGATACAGTATCTTGCTCTCTTTCCCAGGCTGGAGTGAAGTGGTGCAATCATCCCTCACTGCAGCCTCAGACTCCTGGCTTCAAGCAGTTCTCCGCCTCAGACTCCCAAAATGCTGGGATTACAAACATGTGCCACCATGCCGAGCCATATTTCCGTGTGTGTGTGTATGTGTATTCTTGTGAGACAGTCTCACTCTGTCACCAGTGACAGCATCTTGGCTCACTACAACCTCTGCCTCCTGAGTTCAAGCAATTCTCTTGCCTCAGCCTCCCGAGTGGCTGGGATTATAGGTGTGCACCATCTTGCCTGGGAAATTACTGTATTTTTAGTAGAGACGGGGTTTCACCACGTTGGTCCAGGCTGGTCTCGAACTCCTGACATCAGGTGATCCACCCGCCTCAGCCTCCCAAAGTGCTGGGGTTACAAATATGTGCTACCGTGCCCAGCCATATTTCCATATTTTAGCAGCCGGCCATCACCTGGTGTATGCCATCAAAATACAGGCTTGGGGTACAAAGGGCGCTTTTTGGTGTGTTTTCCTCAGCAAGGAGGTGGTCCTCCTTTTCTGAGCGCCCCTCCCTTATACCCACAGGAAGCTGCCAGGGACCACTCCAGCGTGGTGGCTTTGTACAGAAGCCACCTCCTGTACGCCATTCAGGTGAGTGGGCTAACTCCCAGGTGCCTGGGTGGCTTTGGGTGTGCTACTGTTGCTCAGCCTCAGTTTCCCCTTCTGTACAGTGGGAGGCTGGTCCTGGGGAGAGGTTCATGGCATGTTGGAGCCTGCCTCTGTGCATTTCCCTCCTGGCTGGCTTGGTCTATGGGAGTGGCGGGGGGCCTGGGGAAGCCACTGGGGGTGCACTCAGAGTCTCCCTCTATTCCTCTCATCCTAGGGCCAGATGGATGAAGACGTGCAGCAGATTCTCAGCCAGATTCTGCAGATGCAGAGACTGCAGGCTCAGGGCCGCTGAGAAAGGCCGGGCCCAGTGGCCACACTGACCACACCCACGCAGGGGCCTCACCCAGCCCCATCCAGGCCCATGCACTTGGAGGCCAGCCTGGGTCCCTGCCCCACGGTCCCCAGCTGGCTCCATTGCCCCACTTGGTCTCTGCACGCACAGACTGGTCAGTCTGGACCCAGGGCGTGACTGCCCCTCCTCTTCCACCAGAGAATCTGTGAGTCCCTGTGTCCTCCACATCCAGATGCCAGCCCAGGAATAAAGGCATTCTGTGCACAGGACCAAGGCGTGTGGTGTGGTTGCTGGGCTGCTGCTGCTGGGAGGGGAGGTGGTGGCCCAGAAAAGGAAGCACTCATACCCCCTCCCTCTGGCCCACCCAGCAAATCAGCCATCGGGATAAACTCAATCCTTTTTTTTTTTTTTTTTTTTTTGATTGGGTTTTGGATTTGTTTTACCCAGGGAGGCTCGATAAGGCGTGGGATTGGGGGGGCTGGTCTCTAACG